TCCGTTCATCCCCTCCGTTCATCCCCTCCGTCTATCCCTCCGTCTATCCCCTCCGGTCTATCCCCTCCGTTCATCCCCCTCCGTTCATCCCCTCCGTTCATCCCCTCCGTTCATCCCCTCCGTTCATCCCTCCGTCTATCCCCTCCGTCATCCCCTCCGTTCATCCCCTCCGTTCATCCCCTCCGTTCATCCCCTCCTTTCATCCCCTCCGTTCATCCCCTCCGTTCATCCCTCCGTTCATCCCCTCCGTTCCATCCCCTCCGTCTATCCCCTCCGTCTATCCCCTCCGTTCATCCCCTCCGTTCATCCCCTCCGTTCATCCCCTCCGTTCATCCCCTCCGTTCATCCCCTCCGTTCTATCCCCTCCGTTCATCCCCTCCGTTCATCCCCTCCGTTCATCCCCTCCGTTCATCCCCTCCTTCATCCCCTCCGTTCATCCCCTCCGTTCATCCCCTCCGTTCATCCCCTCCGTCTATCCCCTCCGTCTATCCCCTCCGTTCATCCCCTCCGTTCATCCCCTCCGTTCATCCCCTCCGTTCATCCCCTCCGTTCATCCCCTCCTTTCATCCCCTCCGTTCATTCCTGCCCTTCCACCGCCCCTCCCCTGCTCACTGCACCTTCAGTTGCACCTCCCCCTCCATCCCTACCTCCCCCCCACCCCCCCTTCCCTCTCTCCCCCTCCCCCCCACCCCCCGTCCCTCCCCCCAGATGTCCAACCACCTCTTCTGTCTGCGCGAGTTTGCTCTGCTGGCAGGAGCGCTCAACAGAACGCTCGTTGTGCCCATGGGGCGAGATGAGGTGAGGGCATGGGGCGAGATGAGGTGAGGGCATGGGGCGAGATGAGGTGAGGGCATGGGGCGAGATGAGGGGAGGGCATGGGGCGAGATGAGGGGAGGGCATGGGGCGAGATGAGGGGAGGGCATGGGGCGAGATGAGGTGAGGGCATGGGGCGAGATGAGGTGAGGGCATGGGGCGAGATGAGGGGAGGACATGTGCTCCGTGCAAGAAACATTCTTGTTTTCACATTCATTCTTCCATACCCCTTTCACTCCACCCCCCAACCCCCCCCCCTCCCCATTATCATCCCGCTCCTCATGCCAACTCCTAGCCCCCACCCATCCCCCATCCCCCTCCCCTCCCCCCCACGTTCGCCCTCGCTAACCATTTCTCAAGGACAGGTTTTCCTTCTCTCTTTCTCTCCACACATCAGCTCAGCATGCCCCTCTCCCTCGCCGTGGATGTGGAGCTGCCCTTGAGCCATGCTTTCATTTGTCCTGGCTTTCACGGTTCACCGCACCCCACCCATCCGCCCGTCATCCCTTCCCCCCTCCATCAGCTCAGCATGCCGCTTTCTCTTGCTGTCAACCTGCCCTTGAGCCATTCTTTGCATTCTCCTGACTTTCACCCCCACCCAACCCAACCACCCCTTCCCCCCTCCCCGTCCACCAGCTCAGCATGCCCCTGTCCCTCGTGTTCGACCTGCCCTTCCTGCGTGCCTGCTACGGCCCCAAGACGGCCCTCACTCTCGACGAGTACAAGCAATATGTGAGAGACCCACGCCATGTTATGCCATATCCAATTGCTGCCTGCCTAGCTTGCATGCACCCGGACGTTTTTCGTGCCTGCTATGGCTTGACGAGTACAAGCAATAAATAGGTGAGACCAGAGTGCTGTGCCATGTGGTGTTGTTAGATGTGGGGTGATGTGATGTGATGTGATGTGATGTGATGTGAGGCGATGTCATGTCATCTCATGCCACTTCATCGTCTCGTGTCGTGTCACACTGTTTCATACCATGCCTTACTGCTGCAGTGCAGAGCTAGTTGTCCGCACAGCACCATGAGGGGGGTGCGGTGCAGGCGGGTATGGGGCTAACTCAAGCTGGTCCATCCATCCTTATTCCCGGGACAGGTGCACGGGACCACCCACCTGTCCCGTGCACGTGGGCAAGGGCAAGCTGCAGCCTGCAGGCCACCCACGTGCTGTGCCTTGCCTCGCCAAAGGCTATCAGCCTGTCACATCGTGCCTGACTCTTGTGTGCCTACCCCACCCTCCTGCTACGCTGCCTGTCCCTGCCCCTACCACGCACCTGCCCCTTGCAGGTGGGCAAGGGCAGTCTGGAGGTGACCCACGTGGTGTGCCTTGTGCGGGGATGCCACATCGAGCCAGACGCTGGTGAGATGCTCAAGGGGACGGGATGGGATGGGAGGAAAGGGGTGGGGAAGGAAGGTGGGGTGGGATGGGGAGGGGATGTGGATGTGTGGGTTGGGGGGGCATGTGGGGGGAGGGAAGAAGGGGAAGGGGGCGAAGAGAGGATCAGGGTGAAAGAGGAGGAGGGTAGGGTGTGGTGCGGGTGACCCAGGTGGTGTGTGTGCAGGTGGGTGACCCGGGTGGTGTGACTGGGCCCCCCTCACCGCGCCCCCCTCACCTCACCTCCCCCTCCCCCTCTTCCCCTTTATCAAAAGCATCTGGCAGCCACTTACACAGCGAACAAGGGCCGCATTAAAGTGACGTTGTGACATTGCCTGCTCTCTTTCCCCCCCTCCCCCTCCCCCTCCTGCTACCCTCACTCTCCCCTTCCCGCTCCTGCTCTCTCCCCCCCCTTCACCCCTCCTTTCCACCATTATTAGCCGCACGTAGCAACCACTTCACAGCCAGAAAGTGTCGCATTGAAGTGAAGAATGTGACATTGCCTGCTCACTTCCCTCCTCTCCCCCCCCCCTCCCCCTGCCCCTACTGTCCACCTTTATCAGCCGCACTCAGCGGCCAGTTCATACAGCCAAGCCAACAAGGACTGCATCAAAGTGACAAATGCAACATTGCCTCCCTTCTCCCCCCCCCCCCTCTCCTCCCCCTGCCGCCCTCCCTCCCCCTCTCCCCCCTTTTCTTCATCAGCAGCTTTTATGCAGTCAATTTACTGTCTGTCAATTTACTGTCTGTCAATTTACTGTCTGTCAATTTACTGTCTGTCAATTTACTGTCTGTCAATTTACTGTCTGTCAATTTACTGTCTGTCAATTTACTGTCTGTCAATTTACTGTCTGTCAATTTCTGTCTGTCAATTTACTGTCTGTCAATTTACTGTCTGTCAATTTACTGTCTGTCAATTTACTGTCTGTCAATTTACTGTCTGTCAATTTACTGTCTGTCAATTTACTGTCTGTCAATTTACTGTCTGTCAATTTACTGTCTGTCAATTTACTGTCTGTCAATTTACTGTCTGTCAATTTACTGTCTGTCAATTTACTGTCTGTCAATTTACTGTCTGTCAATTTACTGTCTGTCAATTTACTGTCTGTCAATTTACTGCTGTCTGTCAATTTACTGTCTGTCAATTTACTGTCTGTCAATTTACTGTCTGTCAATTTACTGTCTGTCAATTTACTGTCTGTCAATTTACTGTCTGTCAATTTACTGTCTGTCAATTTACTGTCTGTCAATTTACTGTCTGTCAATTTACTGTCTGTCAATTTACTGTCTGTCAATTTACTGTCTGTCAATTTACTGTCTGTCAATTTACTGTCTGTCAATTTACTGTCTGTCAATTTACTGTCTGTCAATTTACTGTCTGTCAATTTACTGTCTGTCAATTTACTGTCTGTCAATTTACTGTCTGTCAATTTACTGTCTGTCAATTTACTGTCTGTCAATTTACTGTCTGTCAATTTACTGTCCTGTCAATTTACTGTCTGTCAATTTACTGTCTGTCAATTTACTGTCTGTCAATTTACTGTCTGTCAATTTACTGTCTGTCAATTTACTGTCTGTCAATTTACTGTCTGTCAATTTACTGTCTGTCAATTTACTGTCTGTCAATTTACTTTCTGTCAATTTACTGTCTGTCAATTTACTGTCTGTCAACAAGGGCCGCGTCAAACGTACAGTTCCTGATCTCGCTCCCCCACCCTTCCCCCACCCTTCCCCCACCCTTCCCCCACCCTTCCCCCACCCTTCCCCCACCCTTCCCCCCCCTTCCCTCCCCCACCCCGGCCTCACTTAGTGGCCAATTCACAGCCAACAAGGGCCGCATTGATGTGACAAACGTGACATTGCCCTGATTTTCCCCCCTCCCCTTCCCCTCTCCCCCTCCCCCTTCCCTCTCCCCCTCCCCCCTCCCCCTCCCCCTCCCCGCCGCCCTTCCCCCCCCCCTCTCTCCACCATTATCAGCGGCACTCAGCACCCAATTCACTGCCAACAAGGGCCGCATCAACCTGAAGAACGTGACAGTGCCTGCTGTCGGGCAGTGGACGTGGTCTGGCCTGCCGGAAAAACACACTCTTCATGGTGGGAGGTGGGGTGGGGCGGAAAGGGGTGGCTTGCATGTATGTACTTCAGTTCCCTCGTTGACCATACCATTCCATACCAGACCCATACCATCACATACCATTCCATACCATGCGACCACTCCGCACACACACCTTGCCCAACCCCACCCCTTTCACCCCCACCCCTGCCGACTATGCCCCTGCCACCATGCCCCTACAACCATGCCCCTACCACCATGCATGGCAGGCTTCCTCAAACCCCAGCGTGGCGTGGTAATGGAGTGCTCATGATGGGCGGATTCTGATGCGCTTTGGCATGCAGACCGCAAATGCGCCATTTCCCGTGCCAACCATCCCGGGCCAACCATCCTGTGCCAACCATCCCGTGCCGACCATCCCGTGCCAACCCATCCCTGGCAGATTTTTCTCAAAGTTTACAGCGGAGTGGGCAATGGAGTCCTCATGATGGGCGAGTTCAAGAAGGTACGTCCCATCCCCGTCCCACCCCCTCCCACCCATCCCCCCCCTCCCACTCCGTCGCATCCCGTATCATCCCGCACCATCACGTCCCATCACGACCTGAACAGCGTGACCTCCAGTTCCTGCTGTTGCCATGCCTTCTCCTTCCACGCCCCTCCCTCTGTGCCCTTCCCCCCCCTCTCCTCCCCCCCACCCTCCCACCACAACCTATCACCGACTCTGTCCTCTTCTACATGCTCTTGATCTCCCGTTGCTACTGCCTTCGTACCCCTCCTCTCCAACTTATCTACCCATCCACATCCCGTGTCCTCCCCCCCCACCCAGCAACCCATCACTGACTCTGTCTTCTTCCTCGTGTTCTCCGCCATGGACCTGCCATTCCTGCCCGCGACTATGCCCTCTCCCCCAATATATCTCCCCTCCATCCCTTGGCTCTCCGCTGCTCCCAGCAACCCATCTTCGATTCCATCTTCTTCCCCATGGACCTGCCGTTCCTGCTGCCACCCGTGCCCGTCTCCTTCCATGCCACCTCCCTCTGTGCCCTCTCCTCCCTCTCCTCCCTCTCCTCCCTCTCCCCCACCCTCCCTCTCCTCCCCCTCCCCCCTCCCTCTCCTCCCTCTCCTCCCACTCCTCCCTCTCCTCCCTCTCCTCCCTCTCCTCCCTCTCCTCCCTCCTCCTCCCTCTCCTCCCTCTCCTCCCTCTCCTCCCTCTCCTCCCTCTCCTCCCTCTTCCTCCCTCTCCTCCCTCTCCTCCCCTCCTCCCTCTCCTCCCTCTCCTCCCTCTCCTCCTCTCCTCCCTCTCCTCCCTCTCCTCCCCTCTCCTCCCTCTCCTCCCTCTCCTCCCTCTCCTCCCTCTCCTCCCTCTCCTCCTCTCCTCCCTCTCCTCCCTCTCCTCCCTCTCCTCCCTCTCTCCCTCTCCTCCCTCCCCTCCCCTCCCCACCGTTCCTTCCCCTCCCAGCAACCCATCACCGACTCTATCTTCTTCCGCATGCTCTCCCCCATGGACCTCCTCCCGTTCCTGCTGCACCCATGCCTGCTTTCTCTCCATGCCTCCCGCCTGCCTTCTTTTCCCTACCCCCCAAACCCCCTTCCCGCCTCCCCCCTCCCTCCCCGCCCCCCCTCTGTAGCAACCCATAACCGATTCCGTCTTCTCCGCATGCTCTCCCCCATGGACCTCCCGTTCCTGCTTCCCCCGTGCATTCTCATCCCATGCCCCCTCCCTCCCCCTGTACCCTCACCCCCCTCTCTCCCCTCCCCCTCCTCCCCCCCCCCCAGCAACCCATCACGGACTCCGTATTCTTCCACATGCTTTCCCCCATGGACCTGCCGTTCCTGCTGCCGCCAGCACTGGGCAAGCAGAGGGGAGGGCCAAACTTGGGAAGATGGTGGTGCCGCGGGAAACGTGCCTTGCGTCCCCCGCCATCCGGGTAGGGTGCCATCCTTGTAGGGTGCCATCCAGGTAGGGTGCCATCCGGGTAAGGTGCCATCTGGGTAAGGTGCCATCCGGGCAGGGTGCCATCCGGGCAGGGTGCCATCCGGGTAGGGGTGCCATCCGGGTGAGAGGCTCCTATTCGTGTGAGCCGAGCCCATCCCTACTATCTCACGTACCGAATCCCTCTTGCAAGCCTTTCCCCTCCCCACCCCCTCTTCTCCTGCTCTTGACAGCCCCCTCAACAGCTTATTCCCTCTCTCCCCTCTCCTCTCCCCTCTCCTCTCCCCTCTCTTCTCTCTTCCCCCTCTCTCGCCGTTTCCTCAACAAGCAAGACCTTTTCCTTCCCGCTCCCCATCTGCGTCCCCTCTCTCTCTCTCCCCCCTCCTCTTCTCCCCCCAGCCCCCTCAGCCGCTGGTAGCAGCAGCGTGGCACATAGTGCAGAGCTATCTGCTCAGCGGGCGATTCCTGGCAGTGCACTTCAGACGGGGCGACTTCAAGGACTACTGCCAGAAGAAGGTGCGGTGTGTCATTGTGATCCTGCGTGTGCCTGGGTGGCCCATCGTCCTGGGTGGCACATCGTCCTGGCAGTGGACTTCAAGTACTACTGCCAAAAGAAGGTGAGCGTTGGGTAGCAGAAGGAGGTGAGGGTGGGGGTAGAAGAAGGGTGGACTGGTCGAAAAGTAGTGTAGTGTACATACGTGGATGTGCTTCCAGTGCTCCCAGCGCACCTTGGATCGGCGTTATCCTACCAACTGCGATGATGTGATCCTACCAAAGGTCTTTCCTCTCCTCCCCGTCTCACAGGCAGCACTATGCATCCGTGCTTCCTGCTGCCATGGCTGCTCCGTGTGTGGATGGGTGTCAGAGAGTAGATCTGCGTGTGCGAGGTGTTCTTCTCAGTACGTTTGCGATGGGTCGCCATTTGAGGCGCTTAAGAGATTCGACATACGCGTGCTGCGCGCTGCGTGCTGCATGCATGGTGTTTTCAGCACACCCTCCCTCTCATCCACAGTTTCCTCTCTTCTTGCTTCCCACCCCACCGCACCCATGGGACGGCTGCTTCCTCTTGGTGGCACAGGAATCGCAGCGTGTGCGTGCGTGCGGCTGCTGTGCCCGCCGGTGTGTCCAAAGTGTTGTCATTCTCACGAGCCCCCTCCCTTTTTTCAACATCCCTTCCCCTCTTGGCCCGCCCTGCAGCACCCATCGGACGGCTGCTTCCTCCCGGTAGCGCAGGCATCGCAGTGCGTGCGCACTGCCGCCATCACTGCGGGGGTGTCCCTCGTGTTCCTCGCCACTAACGCCCAGACGCACGAGGTCCAGGAGATGAGAGCGGTGCTCGAGGGGCAACTGCAGGGTCAACTGCAGGGGCATGGTGATGAGGCACAACCGCAAGGACCAAGCAAGGCGCCTCGTGTGGAGCAACAAGCGCAGCACGAGCAGCCATCCAGTGTTGAATCGCAACCGTTGGATCTGCCAACCCCAGCCATCGGATGTGCGATCCCAGCCGTCCATGCCGGTCATTGCGCGCCGCATGCTGCATCATGATGTAGACAGTTCCAACACTCCTTCTGCAGACAAACTTTTAGATCCCACCGTCAACAGCAGCAGCACTGCTACTGGCAGCAGCAGTGCAGTGCAGCTTGTGACTCTATCGCATCTGCTCTCTAAAGAGGACAACAGCACCTGGCTTCAGTCGCTTACGAAGAACGTGAGTTGGCAAGGCGAGCAGAGCCCTGCTGTGGGTTTTCTGGCCTAGGGCTTGTGAGGATGATTGTCTCACTTTTTTATGCCGAATCTGTGTAATCTGTGGTCTGAGTTAAGTCCCGCGGAGTAGCATGCTTGGCGCTGTGCTCTTCTCTGTGCTCTGCTCTGTTACCGCTGTCTTTGTGGCGATCTACTATGAGCTTTTCTCTGCCACTCTGCCCTTCCTCTGGTGCTCCAGTCTGTGCCGTGTTGGTTCCTCGCCTTGCTGCATCATTGGGATGTCTCCATGCATACATACCCTCCCCCTCAAGCACCCACCCGCCCAACCCCCCACCCACCGGCCAACCCCCCAACTCTCCAGGGCATCGACCTCAAGGCCATTCCTCAAGCTGCAGCCACGCTGGAGAATCTGCTCTGTGTGCTGGCAGCAGGGCTTCTGGGCACCCACTTCCTCATTCCTTCTTCCTTGTCCTGATGATTCTCGCCCTCGTTTCATTATAATCTCTTTCCATCGCCCCCCCCCCCCCCCTCCCCTCTCTCCCACCTCCCTCTCCCCCCCCTCCCTCCGGCAGGGCATCGACCTCAAGACCACCCCTCAGGCAGTAGCCACCCTGGAGAAGCTGCTCTGTGCGCTGGCAATGGGGTTTCTGGGCACGCCCCACTCCACGTTCACCAAGGATATCGTGCGGCTGAGACACGGGTTCCGCACGGCAAGGTGTGGCGACGACTATGTGTGCAGTGCTGGCCTGAATGAGGAGAGGCCATCTTTTTTATACACCCCCCACTCCACGCTCACAAAAGATGTCGTGCGGCTGAGGCATGGGTTTTGCGGCTGAGGATGGTTATGTATGCAGTGCTGGGCCCAGAGAGTAAAGGGGTAACGGTCCTCACACTCCACCTTGACCAGTGGCACAGTGTGGGTGAACATGGGTTCTCACGAGGCTTCCATCCACCCATGCTCCACTGCTCAAATCGGCTTCGGTGATAAAGCTGTGCTCTCAAGAGACATGGTGGTTGTTTTCACATGTGGAGCGGAGCATTGGCGGTTGTATGGAGGGTGAAGAAAGAGAGGCAGCTAAACACATCCATTTTGCATCTAAACACTCTGTTACATTATTATTATTCTGTGCTATTTGTCCTGTACATATCATGTGAAGTGTTTGGAGCTCGACGACACGTCATTTCTGAGGCAGTACTAGCTCTGGGCATACAATCAACGCACCAGAGCATGCTACATCTGCATTATGTAACATGCTGCCACACATTCTGACACTTGTTTGTAACCCCAGCTGTCGGCGTTGGTCCTTCGTGGCAGCAGTCTTGACGCGCTTGAAGCTAGGACCCATTTGACACAGCGTGCCAGCAGGGCGACCTCTGAGTCGACTCGAACCTCGAAAGCCACCACCTTCTAGGCGGTCGTCTTGACGCGCTTGAAGCTAAGCTTTGCCTGACACAGCTGGCCAGCAGGGCCTGGGGCCAAGGGAAGTGTGCAGGAGGGGTTTGAAAACAGGGCATGTGCAAGGGGGGCGTCAAGAGCAGGGCGTGTGCAAGGAGCAGGTCAAGAGCAGCACAGTGCAACGGGCAAATCGACTGAAAAGCAGAGTGTGAGGCCCAAGTGTTGAAGCAGGCACGGTGGTGAGGGCACGGTGATGAGCGCACGGCGGTGAGGGCATGGTGATGAGGGCATGGTGGTGAGGGCATGGTGGTGAGGGCATGGTGGTGAGGGCATGGTGATGAGGGCATGGTGGTGAGGGCATGGTGGTGAGGGCATGGTGATGAGGGCATGGTGGTGAGGGCATGGTGATGAGGGCATGGTGATGAGGGCATGGTGATGAGGGCATGGTGGTGAGGGCATGGTGATGAGGGCATGGTGGTGAGGGCATGGTGATGAGGGCATGGTGGTGAGGGCACGGTGGTGAGGGCACAGTTGTGGGAAGAACGGAAGGGCGTGCACAGGGGTGCAAGATTGAGACAGCAATGGGGGACCATGCTCATATGTCTAGGCGATTAGGCATACTGTGACACGCTGATATGCTGATATGCCTATGTGTGCTAAGCAGGAATCTTGCCAGTGCGTTTACGCTTCAGTGCCCTCTAGGGGACCTGGCTCGTGCATACCTGGGAGGCCTAAGCGTCTCTTGACAAGTGTGAGCTTAGCTTGGGGCAATGCCATGGTGCTTCTGTTGCTGCTGCTGCCAGGACCGTGTTGCTGTGGTGCCACATGTGATGAACTAGTGTTCTGGTGCTGGTCTGCCACGTCAGCTGCAGAGGTGTGCTGCTGCTGCTGCTGGTGCTGCCGGTGCTGCTGGTGCTGCCGGTGCTGCTGGGCCACGTCAGCAGCAGGAAAAGAGAAACATGAAAAGAGGATGAAATGCTTGCATAACAAAGGATGGAGCTAGTGCCAAATATGCCTGAGATGTAATATCGTCCTCCTAGTGAGCCATACGCAACCCACGGCATGGTACACAACAACCCATCGCACACTATCCAACAGACCATGCATCCACCCATGGAATGTGGCAAGTCTCACCGACTGAGCGTCCCTGGCCGATTGGAGTCTATCCTTTTCGGCCGTTCCACTGCCACCGTCTCCTCTCCCTGCTCCATCTCCACCATTGGATGATAGTGATTGGCAGCGAGGATCAATTGAAGCCTGCTGCGTGTAACTGTGCTGCTGCTGTTGCTGTTGCTGGTGCATATGCTGATGCTGCTGTTGGCGTTGATGCTGCTGCTGCTGCCTGTGCTGGACTGGTGGCTGCTGCCGTTGTGGGTGCTGCTCCTGTGGCTTGCTTTGCGATGCATTGCTGTGAGACGACCCGAACACATCCGCACAATGGGCTTCCATGCACGCCACCACCTGACAGCATGAACAAAAGTATGTATGACAGGGCCAGGGACGGCTGGAACTGTGAAAGGGTTTTCCCTGCAATAGGTTGCTGTGAGACGACCCGAACACATCCGCACAATGGGCTTCCATGCACACCACCACCTGACGGCATGGCCAGAGTTGGATTGGGTTGAAGTGACATGAATTAGTGTGTAAGAAATCACTGTGTGATGATCCAAACACATCAGCGAAGTGGGCCTCCATGCAAACGACCACCTGACAGCAGGGAGGCAAGTATGTAGTGTATGGCTCGGCCAGGGGGATGGCTGGAACTGGAACGGGCCAGCCCTGCAACGAATGAACAGCTGTGCCAAAACCAGAAAACATCCCAGCAGTGGGCTTCTATGTCAGATGTATAAATGCTCAGGGGCTTTTACAGGGATCCACGTACCTGCTGAAACTCGTCCTTGCCCACCCGTGACACCTCGAGCAGCTTGTCTATGTCCACCTTCAGCTGCCCACGGACATGGGAAAGTTTTATGCGTACATGGATGGACACTAAGTTGCGACTTTTAAGGCGCCTTAAAAACCGCTTGCTTGTCTACAACCACCTTCAGCTGCGCATGGCAACATTTGTAAAATATGCACATGTGAACAACCGGTTGTGATTTTTTATGCGCCTCAAAAGTCGCCTCAACGATCGCTTCCAGCAGCTTGTCCATATCCACCTTCAGCATCAGCTGCACACGAGGAAATGTGTACCCATACATGTGGGCACACAGTCGTTGAGATGAGGATATCGAGACACACACAGCAAGGAAGTGGAGATGGAACGAAGGAGGCACCAGGCAAAGAATCGAGCACTAAGCCATCCCCTATTTGCTGCTCCATCCATCCCATACCTTGCTGCGTGTGGCTGTGAGCATGGGCGCACCTGCGATGCATGCTGCTCAAGTATAGAAACCCCTCAACACCGACTCTACAGCGTCACGCAATACCTTGCTGCGCCATGCCATACCTTGCTGCGCCATGCCATACCTTGCTGCGCCATGCCATACCTTGCTGCGCCATGCCGTACCTTGCTGCGCCATCCCATACCTTGCTGCGCCATCCCCTACCTTGTTGCGTGTGGCGGTGAGCATGAGCGCAGCTGCCATATATGCTGGCCGCGAGAAGTCAGTGCTGCCCCGCCGCGCCTCCGGCAGGGAGTGAGTGAAGCGAGAGGTGAACCTGAGGGGCGAGGAGGGGGTGGGGGGAGGGGGGTGGGAGGGCGCAGAGAGAGGAGGTGGTGCAGTGCAGAGAGAGAAGAGTGGGGGGTGCACCGAGAAGAGAAGAGGAGTTTATACTTCCTGTCAAGGTGGTGGCGGCGCTCGCCCAAGAGTCAACAATGCAAGATCACAGAGAACCAGGGGTAGTGGTGGGTGGGACGCTGGGGTTATGTGAGAATGAAAAGGAGAGAAACAGAAACGGTGGTCCCAAAACCTCAAGGCCACTGTGTCCAAAACAGCAGTACGTTCTTGCCAGGGCAATACTTCACATTCACACTCTGCCAACATCCCCCAGTTCCCTTTCTCTCCCCCCAGTCGCCTCACATGTGCAGGTTGCGTTGAGTGGACTCCAGCACTCGCATGCAGCCGAACTGAAGGGCCAACTGGGGCAGGCTCAACTGCGACCTGCACAGGCAGGCACAGCGCACAGCGCACCGAGACAAGAGCATGACCATTGGCTGGAGTCATGACGCTGCAGCAGGCAGGCTGTACACCCCCCCACAGGTCCTGGCCCAGCTTCTGCATGCGGCCATTGCAGGCTTGACGAGAATCTAGAGGAGCACATGACGCCCAGAGGGGACGCACCTGACGCCCAGAGGGGACGCACCTGACGCCCAGAGGGGACGCACCTGACGCCCAGAGGGGACGCACCTGACGCCCAGAGGGCATTGGCTGGAGTCCTGGCGCTGCAGTGGGCAGCAGCGCTGGCGAAGGGTTGTAACCCCCCTCACCCCCTCCTTCTCCCCCCATCCACAGGTCCAGGCCTCGCTTCTGCATAAGGCCATTGCAGGCTTGACGTGAATCCAGAGGCGCACCTGACGCTCAGAGGGGCCGCACCTGACGCCCAGAAGGGGACGCACCTGACGCCAAGGGCGTTCTGAATGGCCGCTCGAGCCCGGGCATACGCTGGGGGCGACATGCCGCTGAGCTTGGCTGCCTTGCGTGGGTCCACTGCAGTGTCGCCCAGCCTGCCAGTGCAGTGTGATCCAGGACATACCAGTGAGAACCAGTGCGAGTGGGAGGGTGGAGTGGGAAGGGGAAGGGGGTGGGGCGGGGGTGGAACATGCTGCTCAGCTTGGCTATCTTGCGTGCGTCCACTGCTGGTTCGCCCAGCCTGCTGTTGTATCATGCCACGCAGTGACATCACGTAATGACGGTTGGATGTGCACGTTCACGTGGCGTCGAGTGTGGGAGTCCGCGTAAGGATGATCGGATGTGGGTGGGGAGGAGAATGGATAGGGAGGAGGGGAGGGGGCGATGTTGGCAAAAGCGAGCGAGTGGGAGAGAGTGGGGGAGAGTGAGACGGAAGAGAGTCAGAGAGAGACGGGGGGGGGGGGGAGAAGGGGGGAAGGGCTTGGTAGGGCCATCCTATGGTGCGTACAGGTGGCAGGCGATGTCGAAGGATATGACCGCCTTGGCTACGTCGCCCTGCGCAGGGAAGAAGCGACCACGGAGAATTGCGAAGATAGGGAGAGGGGATTTCGGTTTACTTAAAAAGAACCTAGTAGTGACAAGGGAGAAGTGCGATTACAGCAGGGGCTTTTCACTCTCGATAGTCACCTACTGACAACGGAGAATTGCGATTACGGGAGGGGGGGTATTTGTAGTCGACTCAAAATGCACCTAGTGACAGCAGAGAAGTGAGATTACAGGAGGACAAGGCGCAGACGGAGGGAGTTTTGACACGAGAACGATGTTGCAATGCGGACGGTGTCCTGCGACAGCAGTCACTTTGCCATGTGGCAGAAGGCCCATGGTCCCTTCGCGAAAGTCGCAAGAGCCGAGGACATGATAGAGTCTGAGGACATGAGCGTCAGCTGAGGATGAGCGCCTCCGAATGGTCGCCAGGAAGACGCGTTCTAAAATTATTCCTGATGGAACCACAGCGCGTAAGCAGGACAGTTTTCATGCGATCGCAACCACTGCCAGGTTTTCTGACGCCAGAAGCATGCCCTTAACTAGCCTCCGTCCACGCGCTCTAGTGACAAGTGCGACTTTGTGTCCGCTGGCGCGTTAGGGAACCAGCTGACATCACAAAGAGCCGCATTTCGCAGTGTAACCTCCTGCCGCCGCCGCTCGCGTCTAGTTCTGTGCAAGTGACATTTGCGTGGAGAAACGGACGACATTGCGCGCTACCTACCACGCCGAAAGTGCCCGGCTCGAACTTCAAGTTGCAAATTCTTTGCAGCTCCTCGGCTCGCTTGACTGTCGGGCCCTTCTTCTTGACCTTGCGGCTGTTTTTGGACGCATCGAAGAGGAGGGCATCAGTGAAATTGTCAGACGGCCCTACTGACTGCGACAGCAGCCTGAATTGGACCTGGGTCATATCCATTGCAGTAGCGGGATGGGCTTTCAATAATTCACTGTGAAGAAGCTGTCAGATACAAGCAGGCACTGCATTTGCTGAAAGTAGCAGAAGGCTCGGCTGGTATTGTGACTTCGTATTCGAGAGTTCAAATCTGATTATGTTTTGGTCACCTTCGTCATAAAAACCTGACCGTCTAGGAAACCTGCAAAATCATGTTACGATTTCATATTCTTAGGCATTCGTTCTTTATTTATTCAGAACTAAGCACATTTGAGTATATGGATTGTCCTTTATGGTCACGTTTGAGTATATGGATTGTCCTTTTGCAAAGTGATGGGAACTCTAAAACCATAAAAGGGGATAACGTTTCAGGTTTAAGATACCCCAAAGAATCAATGAAATTATTTTCTAATGTAATTTTAGCTTTTTTTCTATGATCAGATGGATAATAGAGAGGAAAATCACAGATTCAGCTGCTATGATACATGTTGCTAAAAGCGTAACGATTTCGGAAGTTTCGCGAGCTACGGAACATGTAAGTAATTGCGAAGTTCTCCATATCGGCTTCGGTTAATGTTGCGTGGCTTGTCTGTGGCCCTTCAGGGCGGGTCCAAACAGTCCGCAATCTATTAGTTTGTTAAAAAGTAACCCATTTCTAGCGTGTAACTTGGGATGCCCGACACCTTTGAGGATACGTGAACCCCAAAGTGAGCTGAAGAAAGATAGGTGCACAATTCGGGGGGAAAGGGGACGTGTGTGGTGCAAGAGGACTCGCCAAGCTTGGCGAAGAGAAGGCGGCCTCGTGTGAAACACGTCACGCCCGCGCCTCCATGTGATGGTTTCCGCCTCTGCGAAACAAACCAAAATTTCGCCGGCGGCGGCGTTTGGGTCACAGAGTTTTAGAGGCATTTCGAAACGTTTTCTCCACCCCATCAATTTGCTTCCCGCCTCTTTTTTGGAGGCCAGCGGGGACGCGTTTCGGGGGAAATGCGTATTCGGACTCGATTTCAGTTTTTGTTCCCGAGTTCGTAAAATCGTGCCCAAAATCCCCAACTTAACTGTTTGGACCCGCCCTCAGACCGCTTGGTCAAATAAAGGTTCATCGTCGTGATCAGCAGTTCTAGGAGTTGTTAGACCAAAGGCTCGTCGGCTCGCTGTTCCCGACAGCACTTTTCAATGGCAAACCTAGCTGAGCTTCGCCATCCAGTAGTTCAACCAGAAAGAAATGAGCGCATCAGAAAATCCAGCACATTCCTGCTGCTTTTCATCGCATTCTCTGCAGGAAGCCTAGCTGGATTCATGAACTTATCTCATTCACGAAACGATGAACCGCCGAAGCACGGCGTACCGACCAGAAGAACAGCATTCCACTTTCAACCAGAAGGGAACTGGATGAATGGTCAGTAAATATCAGTTCCTAAAATTCCCTTCCGTATAATCAGTGGGCTAAATGGTTCTTGATGATGTCGTCGCTGACAGAAATTTCCCGCTTTTCTTTGCAGATCCAAATGGTGAGCGCTGCATTTATCTGGATCTGTTGCATAATTTCAGTCTCTTACAAATGTGCTCATTCAGGGCCGATGTATTACAAGGGACATTATCATTTATTCTACCAGTACAATCCTTTTGGAGCAGTTTGGGGTAACATAAGCTGGGGCCACGCCAGTCTCAAGCAACCTGATCCAGGTATGAAACAGGTCTCTGTAGGTTAAAGTTTTTATTGTGTATCAACGACTGTCAATTTTCCGCTGGCAGTGGACCCACTTGCCTGTGGCCATTAGTCCCGACCAGTGGTATGACGTAAAGGGTGCATGGTCGGGCTCTGCTGTGGTTTTTGACGACGGTACTCCTGCTATCCTATACACTGGAAGTAGTGACGACAATGTACAGCTGCAAAACCTGGCTCTTCCTGAAAACGCATCTGATCCTCATCTGACGAATTGGGTTAAAAGCCCGTATAATCCTATAGCACGACCGCCTCCTGGAGTGAGTAAGTTTGATTTCAGAGACCCATCAGCGTGGAAAGGGAGTGACGGAGTCTGGAGAATGATTGTTGGATCAAGACAAAATGGGACCGACTGTGTATTGATGTACAAGAGCAAGGATTTCACTAACTGGTCTGAGGTTCCCCAAGTAGTTACTACGGCGCCAGGACGAGCTGGAATGTGGGAGGTAAGCGATTCTTGCTCTCTCAGTATGATGCGACGTTTTACGTCTCTTGATGCGTTATTTGTCAATGCAGTGTCCAGACTTATATCCTGTTTCTACAAACGGGGAAGCTGGTCTGGATACGTGCTTCACGAATGAAGATTGCCATCACGTTTTGAAGGCATCGTTTGATGACAGCTTTCTCGATTACTATGCCATTGGAACCTACAGCCAGGCAAATGAAACTTGGGCACCATTGGATTCGCGCATCGATGTCGAAAATGGGCTGCGATATGACTATGGGAAGTTCTACGCATCGAAGACCTTCTTTGACCCCTCTACACGCCGTCGTATCCTTTGGGGATGGGTGAATGAGTCTGACTCGCAGTACGATGACATATCTAAAGGGTGGGCTTCAGTCCAAGCTATTCCACGTGTTGTCAGTTTGGACAGGTCAACAGGAATGCAACTGGTGATGGAGCCAGTAGAGGAATTGAAGCTTTTGCGAGGAAGTCACTTGCATGATGCTGACATTACATTGAAGAAGGGTACGAAGAAGCTTATCGAAGATTTTTCAAGCATGCAGGTAATGTCAAATTTGAAGGCTTTCAAGATCATGCAAGCTGTGGTAAACTGACTCAACTTTTTCTGCTAGCAGGTGGATATGGAAGTTGTGTTCACCATTCCCAAAAAAATTACATTCAACCAGTACCGTCCCCTTCAAAGTGACTGTGGTTGGGACGAAATTTATGCATCAAGAGTTGTTGGGCGCTTTGGGGCCCATGTCCTTGCTTCAACAAAACTAGAAGAGCGGACATCCATTTTCTTTGAGCTTGCGATTGGACCTCTCGGACGATGGCAAGTTCGTTTGTGCAGTGACCAGAGAAGGTACGAAAAAACATTTTCAGCACCGTTTTGGCAAGTTCTGACTTTGTTATGGCGCATTCAGGTCATCACTGGCAGAAACAGCTGAGAAGAGTATATATGGGAGTCAACTCTTGTTGCAAGAATCCGAGGATAGGCTGCTGCTTAAAATACTGGTGAGTAAGCAATATTGAGATCAGTCCTCTTGGCCAAACTTGACATGACAACCTTGTGATTTCAGGTTGACAACTCAATTGTAGAGTCTTTTGCTCAAGGAGGAAAGTCGGTCCTTACAGCAAGAGCTTACCCAACCCAGCAATCAAGCAGAATTTATTTATTCAATAGTGGATCAACACCTATAGAAGTGAAGTCTCTAGATGTTTGGGAGATGATGTCTGCCAACAGTGGCATGGACCTGTAGGCCTGGTGCCATGAGGTTGGTCAGGTTTTACAGATATGGTATTTCATGGTACAATATTTTTACTGTGTGGATATCATGGAGGGCAGGGTATCATCAAGCAAGTACATCTCTTTGAGATTATCAAGTGGCTTGGGGTAATTCCATGGTTCTGCTGTTGCTGCTGCTGCCAGGACCGCGCTGCTGTGGTGACACGACAGCTGAACTAGTGTTCCACTGCTGCTCTGCCACGTCAGCTGCAGAGGTGTGGTGATGCTGCTGGTGCTGCTGGTGCCGCTGGGCCATGTCAGCAGCAGGATATGTGCATAGATCCTGTGAGATACGGTATGAGGAACATTAAAAGTGGATGTAAAGCTTCCATAACAATGGATGGAGCTAGTGCGAAATAAAATAAGCCTGTGAGATACAAAAGGGTCCTCTTAGTGAGGCATACTCTCTACCCAAGGCATGGTACACAAACCCATCGCACACTATCCGACACACCTAAGAAATGTGGCAAGTCCCACCGATTGAGCGTGCCTGGCCGGCTGGATTCTATCCTTTTCTGCCTCTCCACAGTAACCGCTCGCTCTCCCAGCACCATCTGCACCAATAAATAGTGATTGGCGGAGTCAATCATTCGAAGCCCCGTGCGTGTAACTGTGCGGCGGCTACTGTTGCTCATGCTTTTGCTGATGCTGTTGTTGGCATTGATGATGATGCTGCTGCTGCTGCTGCCGTTGCTGCCTGTGCTGGACTTGTGGTTGCTGCAGTTGCGGGAGCTGCTCCTGTGGCTGGTTCGGTGGCAGCCTGGACTGTGACGCATTGCTGTGGGACGATCCGAACACATCAGCGCAGTGGGCTTCCATGCACGGCACCACCTGACGGCACGGGGGCAAGAACAGATGACAGGAACAGGGATGGCTTGGACTGGAGTTGGCTTGCCCTGAGAAGAATTTCTGTGTGACAATCCAACAACATCAGCACAGTGGGCTTCCATGAACGCCACCACCTGATAGCAGGGAGGCAAGAACAGATGCCAGGACCACGGATGCATTCCACTAAAATTGGCTTGCCCTGCAATGAGTTGCTGTGGGACGGCGCGAGCAGATCCCTGCAGTGGGCATCCATGCGTGCAAGTTGCCACCACTTGAAAGCGGGTACACTCCGTTGCGCCCATCATGCTCTGCAGTGTATTGCACACCCAATCCTAAAAATAGTACGACGGCAGAATGGGTGCTCTAGTCGCATGTCAAACCGCCGACCTCGATGGGTGCTCTAGTCGCAATCCTACGTCTCGAGAAGGAAGTCCCTGATGGTTTCTAAGAGAGCCCTGCACAAAGACCTGCATCCGCCTACCTCCTGTAATCAAATGCACTTACCTGCTGAAACTCGTCCTCGCCCACTCGTGAAGCTTCCAGCAGCTTGTCGACATCCATTTTCAGGTGCACTTGCACATGGGTATCAATGCGTCCGTACATGCGTGGACACACAGTTGCGAAAAGAAACCCGCTTCCAGCAGTTTGTGAAAAAACACCTTCAGCTGCACATGGGCATACGCATGCGTACACGAGTGGATACACGGCTGAGAGGAGGTAGAGATACGCACAGCATGAACGTGATAATGGAAGGAAGTACAGGCAAAGATCGAGCATTATGCCATCACATACCTTGCTGCATGTGCCAGTGAACATGAAAGCAGCTGCCATGTTTGCTGCTCGAGTTGTGAGGCCCCTCACCACCTACCTTGCTGAGCCATCCATCCCATACCTTGCTGCGTGTGGCCGTGAGCATGAGTGCAGCTGCCACGTATGCTGGCCGCGAGAAGTCAGTGCTTCCTCGCCGCACCTCGGGCAGGGAGTGAGTGAAGCGGGAGGTGAACCTGAGGGGCGAGGGAGGGGGGGGAGGAGAGGGGGGGGGGGCAGAGAGAGGAGGTGGTGCAGAAAGTGAAGAGTGGGGGGCGCAGAGAGAAGGGTAAGGCAGAGAAAATAGGGGGAGGCAGAGAGAAGAAAAGAGAAGTTCAACCTTTCTAGTCAAGTTGGTTGGTGGCGCTCGCCCACGCGTCAACAATGCAAGATTATCGCTGTGGGTGGGACGGCGGGGTTATGTGAGGATGAAAAGGAGAGAAAACGCCAACGGTGGTCCCTTAACCTCAAGGCAACTGTGTCCAGAACAGTTGTGCTTCATTACATTTTCTTGCCAACGCAATACTTCACTTTCACACTCTCCCGAAATCCCTCAGTTCCCTCCCCATCCCTCAGTCCCCTCCCTCCCCTATTCTCGCCTCACATGTGCAAGTTGCGTTGAGTGGAATCCAGCACTCGCATGAAGCCGAACTGAAGCGCCAACTGGGGGAGGCTCAACTGCGACCTGCACAGGCAGGCACAGCGAACAGCACACAGCGCACAGCACACAGCGCACAGCGAACAGCGCACTGCTCACAGCGAACGGCGAACAGCGCACAGCGAACAGCGAACAGCGAACAGCGAACAACGCACAGCGCACGGAGACAAGAGCATAGTCAGTGGCTGGAGTCATGTCGCTGCAGTGGGCAGCAGCGCTGGCAAAAGGCTGTACACCCCCCCCACAGGTCCAGGCCCAGCTTCTGCATAAGGCCATCGCAGGCTTGAAGTGGATCCAAAGGCGCACCTGACGCCCAGAGGAGACGCACCCGACGCCAAGGGCGTTTTGAACGGCTGCTCGAGCCTGGGCATACGCTGGTGGAGACATGCCGCTCAGCTTGGCTGCCTTGCGTGCATCCACTGCTGGGCCGCCCAGGCTGCCAGCGCACCATGCCATGCCAGTCCGTTGAGGACTAGTGCAAGTGGGTGGGTGGAGGGGGGGGGGGAGGAGAGGGGGAGGAGAGAGGGGGAGACATTGCCGCTCAGCTTGGCTGCCTTGCCCCGCGTCCACTGGAGTGTTGCCCAGCCTGCCAGTTGCATCATGACACACGGTGAGATCAAGTGCACGCGGTGGTGGGATTGTGCGCGTCCACATGGCGTACAGGGTGGGAGCTTGCGCAGGGATGGCTGGATGTGCGCTCGTGCTTGCGGGTGGACGGAAGGAGGCGGGCGGAAGGGGGAGAGGGGCAGGTGGGAGGGGGGAAGCGAAGGGGAGGAGGAAGGGGCGCGAGGGAGAGGGGAGGCAAGGGGGGGAGAAGGGGAGGGGGAGAGAGAAATGTAGGGAAAGGGGAGCGAGTGGCCGAGAGAGGGGGAGAGAGAAGCGGGAGGGAGAGACGGGGTGGGGGTGAGGGGGAAGGAGTGGGTGGAGAAGGCTTGGTACAAGGGCCAACGGAGACAGCCTTGGCCACGTCGCCGTGCACAGGGAACAAGTGACAACGGGGAACCGCGATTACAGGAGGAGTCGTCTTAGTCGACTCAAAAGTCACCTATTGGCAACGGAGATTTGAGACTACAGGAGTGCGTATCGCAGAGGAATGGAGAGTTTCGGCATGAGAACGATGCACCAGTACGGACGTCTTCCTGCTACAGCAGTTATTTGCCGTGTGGCATAAGGCCCATGGTCCTTTCGTGAAGAATTCAGTTGCAACAGCGTCAGCTGAGGCCATGAGCGCCTCTGCATGGTGGTGGGGAAAACGCGCTCTAATTGCAATCCTAATGGAACCACTGTGCGTCAACAGGACAGCTTGACGCAATAGCACACGCTGCCCGATTTCCTGACAGCAGCAGCCATGCCCTTAGCTGGCCCTCCGTTCGCGCGCTCTAGCGAAAAGTGCGGCTGTGGCTCGAATAAGCTGACGGCGACGTAACGGCTAACGCGGTATGAAACCAGTAGCTGGAAACTCACGGAGCCGCGGCATTTCGCAGCGTAACCTCCTTCCGTCGTGGCTCGCGACTAGCTCCGTGCCCGTGACATCTGCATGGCGAAACGGAATATATTGGGCGGCACCTACCACGCCGAAAGTGCCCGGCTCGAACTTCAAGTTGCAGATTCTTTGCAGCTCCTCGGCTCGCTTCACTGTTGGGCCCTTCTTCTTGACCTTGCGGCTGTTTCTGGACGCATCGAAGAGGAGGGCATCAGTGGAGTTGTCAGACGGCCCTACTGACTGCGACAGGAGCCTGAATTGGACCTCGGTCATATCCATTGCAGTAGCGGAATGGGCTTTCAATATTTCACTGTGAAGAAGCTGTCGGAGGCAAGCAGGCACTGGGTTTGCTGAAAGTGGCAGAAAGCTCAACTGGTGTTGTGACTTCGTATTCGAGAGTTCAAATTTGAAGATGTTTTGGTCACCTTCGTCATAAGGAGATTCCGTCTGCTGGCCTATACAATCTATAAATCTTGGAAACCTGCAACAAAAGCATTATAATATATGATATTCATAGGCATGCACATTGTATTCATAATATAATACATAACTGCTCCATGTGTACTTTTTGATCACGTTTCATTATTTTGTTTTGAAATTATATGGGTTGTTCTTTTGGGGCTACCCGTATTTGCAGGAGTATTGGAAATACCTCGAAGACTTAAGCGTTTCTGTAGTGTAACACTACACTCGAAGGAAAGTCGTATCGAGTACGCGAGTCAACGGAGGTTACACGAGAGGTTGGACGAAAGAACACGAAGGACGAAGGAACTCGAAGGATCGCAACCGGAGATTGCGACTGACCGTTACGACTGCAAGGGTGGTAACCGAACCAACTGTATTCTACAACTGCTCTATCTCCTATTTCTATATATTGCTGTATGTTTGCTTCTTTTAATAAATCACTTGCTCTCACATACTACTGCAAGGGTTCAACTACTCAATACTTCCGCGCACTACTCAAACAGCTTGTACAAGAGATACAAGTACAATGTGTTGTCCCTTTTAAGAGTTGACCTAGCTAGTTTATAACAAACACACCTAACCTTACTAGATATAAATATATGTTTGTTGACACATCCCCTAGCCTAGGTAGAGGCAGCATTTAACAAATCAGGGCAGCACGACTAGTCTGACCACTGAGACAAAGGCCAGAAGGCCAATCAGATAGTGCAAAAAGACATGTTGATACAGAACAAGTAGACGCATATAGTGTATAGTATATATCAAGATAAAAGGAGCGGAGCTGCTACTGAGACTAGACCAAGCTGAGTACAGAACGCTGATGGTCATGAGGCGGTAGTGC